TGGCCGATGCCTTTTTTTTTTTTCAGCTCATGGCCTGCAGTTCATTTTATAAATGTCAGATAACCCGTCTTACCAAATCGCCCCCACTCCTCACTGCTCCAGCCCCTGCAGACTGATAGGTAATATTCTTATTAAAGATCAATTTGATTGGCGTCCGCTGCCTTTTTCATTGTCCTCCCGTGACGGGAGAGGAAAAGATGATACGTTTTTGTGTGTGTCTGTGTGTGTGCGTGTTTGAAATTTGACTGTTTTATGTAAACTGAGATTAGAAATGCAATAAACCTGTCACGTGTTGAATGCTGCTGTCAACCTGAACGAAATCTTATCTTCCTATTACACACACACACAGACACACACACGCGCGCACACACACATCAGCTATTCTTTAAAGGACAACAACATGTGTGTTATTTGCTCTGTTATTTTTCCTCCAGTTTCAGACAGTTTTGTGTGACATGTAACTGGGGTGTGACAGGTTATCTGCTGCACCACATTTCACCATATTTCATGAGTAAAGGGTCACAGTGACAAAGAGTGGATAAGCACCACCAAAATTTAAAAAAAAAAACTTTGGTCCAATAAAACATTGTCAAGGGTTTGGTTTTCTATGGCTATTGCTGTACAAGGGATTATCTTTGAATGATAATCCAGGCACAGCACGATGGTGGCGCTAGCCCAAGTATTAGCATTTTAACAGCCTCTCTCACAATGACTGGTAGGGCTGTAACTGTACATGTATTTGTCCCGCACACAAACGACACACCCGTGTAACTACATGTTGTCTATGAGAACACAGAGTGGAACAAACTACCACTGGAATGGGATTGTGACAGGACCCCAGTCGTACACAGCAGCTGGTCGATGCACCTCTAATTTCCCACACCTTTGAGGAAAAAAACAGGCTTTTTTATAAAGACAGCATTCATGTTCAAATGACCAGAACACACAGGACACACATACTGTGTACATATATATAGGCTGGGTTTATTTAACGATTAAAATGTCATCTTTTTTATTTCATTTTTCACACGTCCCAGACGCATTCTCATGTTTTGTGGTCATCAATTATCCGCTTAGTTACTTAAAATAGCTTTGGCAACAAATTAGCTTACACACCCTTAAAGCGTTTAAGTTACACAACCTCAGGCACACAGAACAGAGTATTGCTGCGTTGCCACCAATAGACTAAGACTAAGGCGATTGCATTTTGGAGCACCTGAAAAACTTGGAATGAAAGATGGGTGCTGGTGGCTAAATGACGCACGATGGAGAAACTGTTACACGATTTCACACCTGAGTAGCCTCCCCTGCTGCTGGCAACCTGCACACACACGCACACACACCTTTCGACACACACAAAAACACCGAGGCAGCGTGAGATGAGCTTGAAACGAGAGCCAAGGTGAACATCAATACAGCAGTTCCATATCTGCGCTTGGCAAAAACCATTCAAGATCAATATTCCTCAGACAGAACCAATGTCACATTCTGTATGCTCCGAGCCAGACAGCATTAGGGACGGTCCAGCCAGCATCAATCAGCTCCGAGCCATTCATCCAGCCACTTCTGCTGCTCATAACATGCTTCATAAAGAGTGTAACCACCTCCTCAGACACACACACACACACACACACACTCACGGCAGATTTAACAGCAAATACTTCATAATTAAACATGTATGGCAGTATACCTTGCACCGATTCTTAAATGCAGTGTTTACCATTAAATACATGCTCAACTATCATCAGTAAAATCCTCCAAAGATTAGACAAAGAATATATTAAAAAAACAAATTGAAAATCAGGTATAGAATGTTGTAGGGTTTGCTAATGTGTGACTTTTCTTTTCTTCAGCTTTTAGAACCCGACAATTAATACATGCTCATTCATTTTTCTTTTGACAATAACTGTTACTGAGGGTTTCCGACAGAATGCTACCAGTTGGGGAAGTTTTCTTACATATTTTCCAAATCAAAAACACTGCTTAGGCAAGACATCAGCTGTCAATTTGGTCCCAGGAAAAAAAAAGATTTTGAATTTTCGTAGAACTTTTCAAATCTTCCTTTCCATAACAAACTAATTAAACAATATTCTGGGTACTCTGTCCCTCACATCATTTTTTGTTTGTTTTAGCACTTGTTTTTTTGAATGTCATATTTTGTAAGTTAAACAAAATACTTGCTCTGCAGTGTTAAAGTCCTCCAAAGCCGAAAACACGTTTGAAGGGTTGATTTATAGACTGGATGTTTTTGTTTATTATTATTATCTTCTACTAGTTTCATAAAAAATTGACTTTGCTCTGAGGCCTTTTTTCCCCATCATGACTTTGCAGTTCTCAGCGTATGGTGAAGACACCTTTTGGCAGCAGCCTAAGAAATGTTAAGTTAGATGGTGTGCAGTTAGATCACAGCTGAAGTTTTTCAAAGTCCACTACTGAATCTTCAGTCGTTTGGGAGAACAACGGCACAGGAGACACTAACGGCCAGATCAGCATAGCTAGCGTTGACCAACAGCTGGCCAGGGCTATGAATAAATATATTTTATACTGTCTATATATTGTGTATACTGTACATTTGCATAAAATTGTATGAAATTATTTAGGCAAAATGTGACAGAACACCTAAAGTGACAGGAAGTTTAGCAGGGACAAAACTGGCAGAGAGTTTTTGGGTGTTTCTGGAGGTTAGAATATTTTTTTAATCATCATTATCACGCTCTACTGGAATGAGGGTGACTGCAGAGTCCACGTCACACACTACAAACGAAGACCTATTAGTAACAGACAGCATCCCACACACTGGCACCAATTTGTCTTATTTAACAGGCAATAAAGCAACCTGCTAAGCTAGCGTCCTTCAGAACCCTAATTATTTCAGACTAAAATTTTAAATGTTGTTTATGGCCAATGCTTTGCGTTGTAATCGACAAAGCCTACATTTGAGGTTTATAAACAGCAAACTCAAATATTTCAAGGGTCTCACGATGGTAGGACCCAGAGCAGCACTTGAGAGGCAGAAAGAGTATTCCACAAAGTTTTATACCTGCAGCACAACAATCCAAAGGGAAAACAAAGGAACAGGAGCCAGGCAGAAACAAGGAGAGGCACGCAAGTTAGCGTGATGAACCTAAGTTGCCTCACGATGATTTGAATTACTTTCGAACGGCTGCATTTTTACTAAAAGCAGTCCTACATAGCCTACTTATAGATCTGCGTTTAGTTCCTCAACGCTCTTCCTCTCCTCTCTCCATCAGCCGTTGGTGTTCTCATCTCAAACAGCAGAGCAGAGCAGGAAGGAATCGGTGTGGGGAAAACAAGGGCATGTGGTGGAGAGAATACTAAACAGCACTGAGCATTAAACAGAAGTCTCACACTGTGCACTCATCCTCACAGGGACGCGCATATAAACACACATTAATCAGCGGCTTTTAAGTAGACACAAATCCATGCTAACACACAGTGGGCCTGGTATTAGCAGAGCCCCTTGTCACAGGCTGAAGAGAATGCATTCGTACCTCAGGCTTAAAAAGTTAGGATTAGTGTGTGTGTGTGTGTGTGTGTGTGAACCAAAGACCTTGAAAGAACAAACTGTTTTTTTACTAGGGATGAACAGCTCTGATATAAAGATCGCACGCTCGGAGTAAATACATGGAAAGTGAACTACAGTCATGTGAAAAAATGAGGACACCCTATGAAAGCCTGTATATTTTTTAACATATTTGGACACATGGATATTTAATATAAATTTTATCATTACTGAGGGATCCCAGTAATATAACTTAACAATTAAAAATGAAGAAAAACCCTTTTTAAAACTTTCTGTGAAACGTAATTTAAAAAGAATGCAATTTCTGGTTAGGAATACATTAGGACACCCCTCATACTTTCCCACTTAAAATGGTTAAAATCACACCTGAAGTATCACATCAGGTGCACATGATCAGAACATCGTAACCCAGCATTTTGAAGGAGTCTTTAAACCTCAGACATTTAGTTTGGTGTGTCCCTGACTGTTGAAGTGAGAGTGAGCACAATGGTGAGATCCAAGGAGTGGTCTGAGGCCCTCAGAAAGAAGAGTGTGGCTGCTTGGGATAAGGGATTTAAAAAGATCTCAAAAGAATTTTACTAGGTATTTATCTACCCACCCTAAAGGGGATCGTGGTGTCGAAAAGTGGCCAAGGGCCAAGGGCCCGAAACAATATGACCTTTAAAAGTTCACATGAGTCGTTGGCCCCATGGTGGATAAGGTGCACTGTTGATTTTTGAGAAAATTAAAGGATTTCAAGTGTGCCTTATAGTCCGGAAAATTCTGTACCTGGAAACTCCCCACCAGGACAGCAGAACTAATGAAGCCTCTTGGATGAGAGGAGAAACGTCTCAAATTTACTTGAGGTGAGTCCAGCTGCCTACGTATAAAACTGCTTTTGAGATTGTTATGATGACCTGGATGACTGAGATTATCCACTGACTCCTCTACCTCCAATCGGCCGATGCCATCCGTCTGTCCTGCAGCTCAGTCAGGTCTGTGGGATCTGCCAGACAGCCATGTGATGACGAGACGTGAAAGGAATGCCACTTCAACAAGTGGCAGGTTTAAATACATATTTCATTCTCATTTGTGCTCTCCTAATATAGTGTGTGTGTGTGTGTGTGTGTGTGTGTGTGTGTGTGTGAAGGCAGGTTGGCTCATCTGTGTTAGAACCTGGGATTAGATGTGTCAGGTCATTTCTACAAGTGTTAAGGAAAGCGCAGAGGAGAGACAGGCAATCTGATGAGTGGAGCCGCATCTCAGCTCATCGAGGGAGAAAATGGAGGGGCGGGGACTGGGGTGGGCAGTGTAATAAAGAATAGGGTTGGGTAGAAAACTGGAAAAGCCAATGTAAAGTAAAGATGGAGGTGTAGGCTTCAGGTCTGTGTGATGTCACAAGTCAGAAGGATGGATGTTCATGTAGGATGGAACTGTAGGCTTGGCTAAAAAACACACTGCACATAAGCGATGACACAAACCTGTCAGTTTAGTTTTGTTGTTGGCTGCATTGGAATATGTTTTGAGAAACAACACTCAGGTACGAGATTTAAGCAGCTTCTTCATTTTGTGTGTGTGTTTTTACTAGGGCTGTGCAATTAACTATACTTAATCTTAATTTTAAAAAACATATCATTGAAATTATTATTTGAAATTGAACTCTTATATTTCCATTTATGCACAAATGGTGCTTGTATGCGTACGTTGTGAGTGATTGTATTGTCCAGAAGGTTATGATCATCATATGATAAAAGGTACATTTTAGTATAGAAAAGTAGTAAATACTGGTGTCTCCTCTTGGATGAGAGGTGAAACAACTTTAAAAAAAACTCCTGCGTCCAGTTGGCCTTGATGTACCTATTATTTGGATAAATACTGGTATGTGTAGGTCCTATCAGCTGAAGTTATTATTAGAATAATTAGTAAAAGTTTAACAACAGAACAGAAGATTCTGATTATATTTCAGAATAATAATTGTGAAAAAAAATTTTATGAAAAATTTTTATGAAATCGACCACTGTATATTACCGTATGAAAAAATAAAAAACTACTGTAATGTTAAAACTAAACACTGGCGAGGGGGGGGGGGGTAAAACTACGTAGACCCAGCAAACTGGCTGTTTAAACTAATTAGAGCTAACTTTCTTTTTTTTAAAAAGAAAAGAAAAATGGAGACGAACTAAACCATTGTTATAGCTCCCAGTCATGTCACCATGCAGACAGTTGATGATGTAAAGTTAAATGAGCAGACAAGACACCTAAGTCTTTTACTGCGTTGACTCCTCGTAGCACAGTGACAAGAGCCAACAATAGCGCAAAGCAGAGTCCAGTGCGGCTGCCCAACGTCTCGCTGCCATCTATTGACGATATCGGGTATGACACCAAAATAAGAAGTCCACAAAGACTGAATAGTGTTAAAATGTATCAAACACATCAGTAGGAACTGAAATGACGTCACACTACAATGTAAAGTCCAAACTTATTATCTCCGTGGTGACAGGTCTTCCGGTGTTTTAGTAACGTGCTGGTTGCTACTTACAGCCGAGCTCTTTTCTTCACCTCAAAACAAAATATGCTAAGTTTATACATAATGCGAGGTAGTGACGTCACAGTCCTCGCCTCATTTTACCTCACATTACGCATCCACCCAAATTAAACAGGAAAAACGCGTTTTTCTTTTGGTGGAGAACAGTGCAGTTTTATTTATAGTCCGCAATAGGATTCTCAAAAATAAAAACAACTGGCGAATGAAAAAGAAGAAAAAAACGGTACAAATTTACACACAGCCGCCAACAGTTGTCGCATCAAGCTACTCACAATGTTACTGCTTAATGTAGCAAATGTATGTTGTCATCTGTATATACGTATGTACTTAGGTTGTGCAGTTAATCAACCTTTTCAATTTTTAATTAAACTTTTCACAGTCCTCCTGATGATCTTTCACAGAAGACATACCATTTATTTATATATACACTGTAATTATACACACACATATATAGGCATATATATACAAACACACACACATATACATATATATATAAATGTGTGTGAAGAACTAGTTTTTCTAAAGTTTGTAATTGTGAATTGGTCCCTCTTTCTGTTCTTTTGTTTGCAGGACAGCTCACAAAAGATTTAAGGGAAAATCATGACCTGCTCAGTTCCACACAAGGCAAAACTGTTGTTCCTCCTGACGATGATATTTATCTATACCTTTCTTTGGAACAGTCACACCAGCTCAATGCAAGTTCTTACAAAGCCACCCTTTGCTGAGGCACGAGTTCCTCATGACATAGCAATGCTGAGGAATCTCATCAGCTCCAAAATGGAGTATCCACCCAGAAAGGTGCCAGAGAAAGAAGAAGTTGTTAAAGTTGACCCTCATGTAAGTATAATTACATGACATTTTTTTAAGATGTGAAAAAAAGATATTACTGCATTTTATAACCTGCGTTTTAAATATTTATAATTCAGTCTATATTGGGAGAAGACATGGCTAGATAAGGAGGGTTGCTGTAATTAAGTTATAAAACATTATACTTGTATGGCACCTTTCGTATTGAGTATTAACATTAAACACAGGAGTCCCCAACACCCATCAAGGGAACAGTACCCTTCCATGAGTCATTTAGTACTGGGCCGCAGCAATGAAAGTATTAATGTTTTAGTTCATTTAAAGAGAATTGGGTCATCTCCATTTACTTTCTTCATTTAAAGGTATTCATTCAAAATAACATGTCTTTCAGATGTAACTTTTATTTTGAAAATACACTCATCCTTAACGAACCTTTAGTATAACAATTCCCCAATGATCAGTGCAGCGCTAACGGTTCGATATACTGGCCAGTACCAGCCGTCTAGTCCTTAGTGAAAATAAATGTTGGGGACAGGAGCGTAACAGTTAAGTTAAACATTTGAAATTGTTTTAATTGAGGCTGCAGCAAAAGCTGTCTGGTATATGTATAACGACATCTACAATTGTCTTGTATTGCAGTTGTCCTCTCTAATCGATCAACAGTTCCTTCCAAACATCAAGAGCCCTTGTTGGTATGAGGAGATCGCCAATAAACTTGTCTCAAACCCGTACAATAGCAGTTATTTTGCGAAGCACGACAAAGTATTCAAGGATTTGTTGACCACCATGAACGCTGACTTCAAAAAGTACCTGCACTATAGTGGTGGAAAACAATTTCGTTTGCGTTGTTTGCCTTACTTCTACATCATTGGCCAACCAAAGTGTGGAACAACAGATCTTTTTTACAGATTGTTGGAGCATCCACAACTTAAATATAATGCCTTCAAAGAACCACACTGGTGGAACAGGAGACGCTTTGGTAAGTAATCAAAAGATGGCTGCTAGCTCAATATTGTTCCAGTTATTCAATCAAATGGGTCTTTGGACCAAAGTGATTTTTACAGACAACCAAAGTAGCATTTTGGATTTGCTATAATGGTAGAAAGCTTAAAAGTAACTTTTAGTTTATTATTTATTCAAGTAAGAAATACATTCTCAAGGAAGTGAAAACCCCTTCCTGCAGTGTGTGTGTAAACTGAACCATTTACTGTATGGATTTTCGAAACTCTAGGTGGACTATATGGAAAACGAAACGATGGAAATATTTCAATGGAAAGTTATTTGGATATTTTTGACTGGGCTGCCAGAAATATTGAAGTAGGACTCAGGGAAGGACCATCAGCAAACAACAGTGCACTCAAGATTGTGACAGGTAAGGACCTCTACCAGTGTACATGAAATTGTCTAAGGTTGTCTTTTGGTTATAAGTCTTTTATTTAAGATGGTTAGTTTTGGCCCAGGTCACCAACAAAAAAACGGTTTCCTGTAATAGGGTTTAAGGAATGAGAATCTACAGTCCATACTAGATTAGATTAGAGGAACCCGTTAGATGAACACCTTAATTTATGGGCATTGAAGCAAATCCCAGCAGTATTAATAATAGGGGTGTGTATTGGCAAGAATCTGGCGAGACAACACTTATCACAATACAGGTGCAACAAGATATATTGTAACATTCTGGAATACTATAGGCACAACAATACAGTATATTGAGTTTAGGCAATTTCATTGTATGGAAACTGTTATTACAGGAAACGTTCAATGCTGTCACACGCTTAACATCAGGGTTACTAAAACAAAAGGATCCAACATTTGTAATCACTACAGAAGAAATAAAAGCAAAATTAAATGAACCAACGCCATGAATATTTGTTCATTGTCAACTAAAAAGATTAAATAAATAATGATACAGTGCTGTAGAATATCAATAGTATTGTAAAACCAAATATCACAATATAGCAGCATATCAATATTTTCTCACCCCTAATTAATAATCATAACAAATTATGATTATTTCACTAGCTTAAACTGGCATTGTCTACAGAGTAGCAGGAAGAAAGGACTCCGAAGGAAGCGGACTCCAAAAGTTGCCAAGGTCACATTTCCATTGTGTGTCACAATGACATGTAATTCTTAACTTAACAAGGTGAAGCCAGTGCAGCTACTATGTGGGACAGCATGACTAGTGAGTTTGAAAGCAACACAAGAGAAGATGGGCCGCATATCTTGACAGCAGACATTATCCACATCGCCCAGCCTGATGCAAAATTCATAGCCATATTCAGAGATCCAGTAGAGAGGTACTATACATACCACCATCAAATTATTACATTTCCATGAAGGTTTTTATCTAACTCACAGCATTCTTTCACTTAATTCCAAGGCTCTACTCTGATTACCTTTACTTCCACGATTCCATAAAAACAGTAGAAGACTTCCATCAGAAGGTGCTGGATTCACTGAAGGTGTTCGAGGCTTGTTTGTCCACGTCATCACTCCGCTGTTGTGCCTACATGGGCTACTCCACACCCAAATCAGTAAGCTAAAAAAAAACAAAAAAAATCTCTTCTTGTTTCATTTGCTGAGAACATACAATAACTGCAATCCTTTAGTGCTGTTTTTGTTTTATATGGTTGTAACTTCCAAGAATGCAGAGAAGAAAATGAGGCAGCTAACTGCACCAGATACATTTTATTTAAAAACTTAAAACATGTTGTATCGAACCAAGAAGTCTGTGCTTCATTTCAACCTTTATATATATATATATATATATACATACATAATATATCAAATAAATCAAGTAATAACTGTCCAAGTAAAGCAACTTGTAGCAAAACACAAAAACACAAAACAAACCAATTACCTTATTTACAGCACAAATCTGAATTAATTGAAGTGACGAAGAATTGCATTAAAACATATATAAAAATCACACACAAATATGCATACGCACTTAGATACGTTACGAGCAAAACAATCAAAGATGAATCCCTCACTTTCACACTCGCTCGATATACGAACATTCGTCACGCACATGACTTGAAAACAAGACACCGCGTCTTTCGTCGGAACAAACCAAAAACCCTCAGTCGATAGGAGCAGCAAACACAGTCAAAGCAGCAGCAGCAGCTCCTGTGAGGCAGTTACAGCAACACCTGATGCGGTAAGATACACCCGTACCATTTTTTCTATCGGACACAAACAATCACGACAGGAATGATAAATATAGACTCCAGACACTCGCAAGCAATTACCTGTGACCATAATAGTATTGGCCACCAAGTACTTCCAACCACTGCCAAACCGCCAAATAATCACAGCCGTACATAAAGGAGAGGCAACCGAATACAATCACACTATAACACAGACCGTGACTTGTCTAAAGTCTTTTAATTTGCTTTTGTAGCACTTCCACATTTTTCTGTAGTATAAAGTATAAACTGCGTTACAAAAAAATGTATGATCATATAACACAACACAAATGCATTGAGATTGAGAAAAATGACAGTGTTGAGAGTACCAGCGAGTGAAGCAGCTGACCGCCATACCTACCAGGAACCAACCTCTGATCCGGAAATGACGTGTGACGTTAGTAGAATAGAGCTGTGGGCGGACTACTGCTTTTTAAAGGGCCGGTCGAGGATTGGCGGAAATAAAAAAAGAAACAATATTAACAAACATAAACATGTGCGCAACGATGGGGAACTTACTCGTACTGCTATCAAAGTTTGCACTTGGAGTTGGTTGGTTTTGTAATTATTGGACATTTTATTTCATGAAAAGGGCTAAAAACAACTCTCTACTATATGAGTGCCCTGGTTGCATATCTTTAATAGAGTGGACAATAAAAACTCTCTTGAAACTCTTGAAGTGAATTCAAACCCGTTTTTATCATCTCCTGCAGAGAGAGAGAGAGAGAGACCGACTTTGACTTTATCTATAATAATAATAATAATTAACTGTAATCTTTTTCTTATTTTTTTATTTATTTTTTGTTCTTTACAAGGAGTACAGTGGTCCCTTTCTACATCACGGTTTTCCTTTTGCTCCCTCAGTACATCGCAGATTTTTTTTCGGATTTCAATTTTTTTTATTTTACGGAAAATATATTTTTAAACAATAACTAAAAGGTGGCGGTGGATCTTAAAACGCAACTACCGCGATAGGACACAGGCCACTGTATATATCATAGCTATGTATAGCATTTTTGCAAATGACAAAGTAGTCCTGTTGACCTGGGCTAAAGGGCATGATAAACACTACACTACAATATACTACACTATATTATTCTATGCTGTACTATACTATTCTATACTGTATTATACTATGCTATATTATACTATACTATAGTATGCTATGCTATGTTATATTATACTAGTCAATTCAGGTTTTGACTTTTCTCTATTCTGTCCACAGCTGAGGATATATATAGGGATGTATGTCATCTACTTGCTGGACTGGCTGACTATTCTTGATAAGAACCAGATTCTGATCTTACGACTTGAAGACTACTCAGCCAATCTGAACGAGACACTCCATAGAGTTTATAACTTTCTTGGCGTTGGTATGGATGCAAATATTTTATGTAAATCACAATAAAGAGAACAGTTTTAGGGTAGTCTACTATTCTTGTTCTTTCTTGTGTCTCAAATGTTTAACCTTGTGTCCCTTTCCCCTCCAGATCCCCTGCCCAAAGAGCTGGAAGAGAGAATTGTAGAAAGAGACAAAGCAAATAGTCAAAAGGAAAAGATCAGTTCTGTGGGTTCTATGCTTCCAGCCACCAGAGACATCCTAAAGGCATTCTACAGTCCCTTTAATCGTAAGCTTGCCAGTGTGCTTAAAAACAAGGCCTTCCTCTGGCCCTAAAGTCTGTATATACAGTATGTATAACATATTGGTTTGCCTCTCAAAAATGTGTTAATTAACAACACAATATATAATGACCATGTATTACTGTAGTCAAAATTATTCCAATTAACACGTGAACAGGTCATTTATGGAGGGACTGTTTCCAGGAAGCTGTGTTGGGGTTTATTTAAGCACGAATTAACAGTATGATTTTTTTTTTTTTTTTTATTGAGAAGTTCATAGTGTACTGCATTGACTTTAAAAATGGTGGCTTGGTCGGATCAAATGGACAGTTTGCTTTATTTATGTCACGGTGGGTGCACGAGATAAAAAAGTGGTTTTTGAGTGTGATTTTCCCACAAAATGCAGAGGTGAACACAAACATTTCCTTGTATAATTTCCCAATGTATAACGTAAATACATGTATATATGTGCATTGTATTTATGTTCTGTTCATTTGAGCATTATTAAAACTTTGTATTTAATTTTCAAAGGATATTAGAATGGTGTTAACCCATTATAATTCTATCTATCTATCTGTCTATCTATCTATCTATCTATCTATCTAACCCTGTATCAACACAACAGCTATATTATACAGAAACCAATTTATTGTCTTTGTTTTTTCAAAGAAAAGAAAACGTACATAGAACTTTGAAAACATAGAAAATGTACAACTTTAAATTACACAAGCTCTTAACAAAATAGTTTCTTTGTATGTACATCAGCAGGGGTCAGGGCTAGAGACTCTACAGCACGTCTCCAGCAAAAGAAAATCAGCACTGTTTTTCTCCTCTAGCCATCTCTCTACACAAAAAAGTCAATGGCAGACTGTTGAGACAGTGGTCAGCTTAAGAAAACAACATGCTACACTAACCAGTCCGGTGTTAATTGCAGGCTCTTCATGGTTTGCTCTTAATAGCTCGGTACTGCTGGGTACTGTTCAGACATTGCTTCCTCATTGTTGACAAAAGCAAAGGTCCATTTATTAATCATAAATTATCTTCACTTAAAGAGCCAACTCCAAAGTATTTTCAATCCTAGACAATCTGCAAAAAAAAAAAAATTGAAATAGTGTCTCCACTGTGGACTGAAACCAGGCACACTGAACACAAAGTACAGTACAGTACTGTAAAAAGCACAATGCTGAAGATTGTGATCTCAAAATCTTTGCCAATCGTGTGTATGGTGCATACTCCTCTGGTCTGGCCTTTCATTCAGAGCAAGTGTCATGTACTGTATAAAAGCAGGGCCTAGGATTTTTGTTTCAGGAACCAAAGTCTGGTCTTTCACAATAAAAATAAAATGGTTTTATACTGGGAAAGGCAAAGTTAACTTAACATACTTCATCAGTGGACGCTCAGGTCAAATATGCCAAATGCCTTTGGAAGACGTTTTCTGTCTTTTAGGAAACATTGTCCTTCATCAATTTTGAAGAGCAAAACTGGAGAAATACAAATAAGGAGCAGTCACTGACCCACGTTTTCATCTTGCTGTGATCACAGAGGATGCCGGAAAATGTATCCAAAACTAGCGGTGTAATCATAGGCTCATACATGGCGGGATTACCTAGTGCTTGGAGAGGATCCAAACTACTGTAGTATTTCCCTCCAGTAATAATATATCTGTCATTAGATCACAAGCCTCATCTGATAAACAGCATACAGTATTATCTGGGTCCACCCTAACTATTTTAGTTCCGTCCCTCTTCTCTATAGTGAGACGCTTCTTGGTCCACGGACTGAATACCCACCTTTTTTTTTTGAAAAAAAAAAACCAAACAAACAAAAAAAAAAAAATTAAAAACAAGAGTCTAGGGCAATTCAATGGACACAAGTTTTAAAGTCTTTGAATATACAGGATGATAAATATATGTATGTGTTACATCGTTTTCTGCCTGGAAGAGAGTGACTTAAACATTACAAACAGCAAACAAAGGCACAAAAAAAAAAACACGTCTGACTCACTGTGCACTGGACAAAAATAAAAAAAATGACACAACTGTACAGTGATGAATATCAGAAAACAATGTTAAATGTTGCAAAATCGAGCATCCAGTGGCAAAAAAGGGACATTTTGTTTTCGTTTAGTAACTATGTTTTTTCTGTCACTCCTGTTTGTCTCTATATAAAGTCAAAGGTTAAAGTCAAAGTTGAGGTTTCTTTAACACCACTACTGATATATTTGTTTGGATTATTTGCAGGGTTTTTTTATGCTTTGCTTTATTTGAGTATAATTTGAATTTATGTAAAAAAAAAAAACTATGTAGATTTGAATAAAAGGGACATTTTGTTCCAAATTTTACAGGTGGTTTTTGGTTCCACCAACTTGACTCAACATTAAAAAAATGTCACGTGCATATGCATACGTGCATATAGCCACGACTTCCACCCCCTACACACCAACCAACCCTTCGTCTGCTCCAGGACCTTCGACCCGTGTCTATGTGAGCATTTGAGAATTGTACTTGCGTACCCCTGATTTAGTGTGTCTTCAACATGTTCGTGTCTAGCAACGAGAAACACCAGCAGAGGGAAGCAGCGAGCCGTAAATGACTTGTAGTTTCGAACTACGAGCAGCTCTAAAGGTGATAAAAAAAAACCCGTTAAAGACTGGAAGTCGTTTTCAAACGGACCTGTGCTTGTAACACGACACGTTTTTTACCAAGAGTTAGCAAACTCCTCTGTTCTCTCCGGTCCGGTAAAAGTCGCCGTTTACTCTGTGATTTAGTGATATAGAGATGTCTCTGTCTGCTCCCTATCCAGGTGACTCTGTGGAAAGTAAATGACACAGATCTTGAGCTCTGTTGAAGCCAAACATGCACAAGTTAGTACCGTCTTCTAATGTCCTGCTGGCCACACTACTGCACACTACTTAACATCTAAATCAACACAAAGTTTTTGCACAGAAATAATTAAAACATTTTACTATTTTTGACTGCGGCAAACATTTTGATTGTCTGGCCAAAAATATATGTCATAAAGATCAATGTTTTTCGCTGATTCAGAAACTTCACTAGCACAAGGCTCGTTTTGATTGTACTACTGTATCCAATACACACGTCGGTCAGTAACATCTCTGCTTGCCAGTCAGGTGAGACTGGCTGCAAAGACTCACACTGTCCCACAATGTCCCCATTGTGGGACGAATAAGGGACTGAATTATTATGGATCACTAATTAAGACAGATACAGTATTAGGATTTTTAAAAAGCTGTCCAGTGTTAGGGGTTCTGCCTTAGGCTCTATGTTTTCATGGAAATGGTTTAGCAATGTTGTTTCACTGCAGCTAACCAATGCTTCCTACTATAAGACCACTGTGCTCAGTGCTTCTATGAATGGGTTAGGGACATGTCTGTGTCCATGTGTCTGTGGTCAGGATGTGGTGATGTCATACTTTGTTTACTGATATTCCCTGTCTTGATTGTTATTTTCTTGCTCCATCGTCTTTCCTCAAACCTTCTCTCATTGTGAATGAGTTTCCTTTTAACAAAGTAATAAAAGCGTGACACCATCACCATCGCTCCTTTCAGTCCGTCAAGAGCACCAGCTCGCCCTCACTTCTCTCTCCCCTGTCACTTTCCTCCCCTTCACTGTACAGGGACTGCTCTCTCTCTCGCTCCCTCTCTCTGTCTTTGGAGAGGGACGTGGGTGAGACGTGGGCATCTACCTGACGCTGAGGGGGTGGGGCCTGTGGTAGGTAATGCTCCAGTAACGCAGGGTGAAACTGCATGGCTGCCACTGGGACTGAGGGCACGCTCCCAGGGTACTGGCCATTGCTGTGGGGGTAGTGGACCTGCTGGGGCTCCGCCTGACTGAAATGACAGTAAAACATAAAATAAATATTTATCAGCAACAAGTGTCCCAATATTATTGTCACAAGTGAGTTTGATCTGATGCGCATTTCTCCAACTCTTGTGTCAGATTACAGTAGCTTTTAGCCCCCAAAATAGCAATAAGAAAAACAAAATAAATATCAGACCAAACATTAAATTTTACATCATGACTTAGTGAAAGTGATTTATTGCCAGTGTGACACAGTACACCACCGCACACAACCAAATGTGACCTCTGCCATCGCCACGGTGGGCAGGGGGCAGCTCAAGCTGAGCACCCGAGGAACAGTGTGTGGGGACGGTGCCATGCTCAGTGCACCTGGTGGCTGGTGGATTCAAACCTGCGACCTTCCGGACACAAGTCCACTCCCTGAACCACCAGGGCACCACTGCCCTAAATAAAGAGTTTTACAAATTAATTAATTAATTAAAATAAATAAATAAATCAGAACTTTTTAGAATTGATTTATATTAGTTTATTTTGTGTTTTTTTTTTATAAATAATATATAATATTTTACTGAAAACAGTTACTCCTGTTGTTGTTTGGCTCCTTCAGAGAAACAGACCAGTGCTGAAGCCGCTGTCTGCACAGCGCAGCGGTCGAGTTCAAACCTCAGCTCACGAGTTCATCTTCAAGGGAAAATATTAATTTCGCTATTTTGGTCATTTCTCTTTACCTGTGAGTGTAGGTGGATCTCTGTTCCTGTCGGCGGCTTTTCATCATGGCCTTGTACTCGCCTACTCTCAGCCTCCGTCCCTCCACAATGCAGGTCCGCTTAGGTCTGGGTTTGTACTTATAGTCAGGGTATCGCTCCAGGTGCTGCCTGCTCAGCCTGGCCTGTTCCTCATAGTAAGGCTGCTTCTCCTGGTTGGACATTGACTTCCACCTGGAACCTGACAAATCCATAAAGAAGAAAAACATCAATGTTAAAATGTTTTTTAGTTTAGGTTCTGTTATGGTTAAGTCTTCATCACTGGCTTGTGTGTATGTGTGTGGCTATATGATATTCCTACCCTCACATACTGTATGCCAGCTAGTCTCTTGGAACAAAGACACACAAAGAGAAATCCTACCCCTCCCCTGTGCTCCACTCACCCAGAATCTTGCTGATAGAAGAATTGTGCATGTCAGGGAAGGCCTGGAGAATCCTCCTGCGCTCGTCCTTGGCCCACACCATGAAGGCATTCATGGGTCTTTTGATGTGGCCTGAAGAGGAAGAGGCTCGTACATCGGTGTAGCTGCCTGGAACAGAAATGGGCATTGCACCTACAATCAAGGAGACAGAAATGTTTAAGGGCGATTGGGATCATCATGTATCTAAAGTCTGTGTCTAATCCAGAAGTGTCAAACTTATTTTGGTTCAGGGGCCAAATACAGCCTGAAGCCAAGTGGGCCGGACCAGTACAATCATAGCATAATTACCAATAAATGACAATAAGTCCATGTTTTCCCCCCTTAGTTTTCCTGCAAATAAGTACCAGTGTATTAGAAAATATTCAGATTTAATGAAATATAATTTGACAAAACACCACGAGCATGACGTGTTTGTGCATTTCTTTCAATTTCAAAATTCATCAAGTGGGCCAGACTGAACTGTCTAATGGGCCGGTTTTGGTCCATGGGCCATATGTTTAGCACCCCTGGTCTAATCCATCTTCTCCTTCACATGCCATCATATTTAAAAATGAAAACATAAAGTATGTCAATTAGACAATTTTCAGTAACTTGTTCACTGACAAAGAGAAAGTCCATTTATTGACCTAGATAATGTGATTTTATGACATTTCAATTCTCTCTATAATATAAATTAAACAAACATTAAAAAATGTTACAAAAAATTATCCAAATACAACACAAAGTGAAGCAGCTGACACCTTGTTGTGTCTGACTTGTGGGGTTACTGCAATTTAACGATCTTGATGCAGAAAATGCCTCTGGTCCTTTCTTGAGTGCGCCCCCTGCTATTTGCTTTTTGCCCCTAAAACAATAAAATACATTACATATAAAATACAGCAGGCTCCTCCTGAGCCACCTACCCTCGGAGTCACTGCTGTGGTGGTCGTCACAGGACGGCTGCACCAGTCTGTCTTCACACAGCTCCAAACGAGAAACTCTCTCGCTATGTGGTGAGTCCTTACGCTCCTGCCAATGGAACAATGAACAAAGACGGGTGAAGTCTGACACCATAAATAAACAAAACAAATACAAAACCACAACAATAATTACATTTAATTCCATTTTTACTGAAGGAGAAGATAACCCTGAGAGGGCACGTGTGGTCTATTTAAGGCAAGTACACGCCACAGGCGTTTTATCAGCTGACGTTTAAATGCCGAGTTGTAAATGTAAATGCAACATGACAGTCGGGTTGTTGATCATTCGAGGACAGGAAGGTGAAGGGGGAGAGGCAGAGGAGAGACACTGTAGCAACCCGTGGATACGCAAAGCTGTCCCTGCGAGACACATTATCTGTAAGACACTCGTGCCGTAAAACATTACTTATCTCTCCACGAGATGCAATGAAAGACCACAATAGGTCAGTCAGCAGTAGAGAGCTGGTAACACGGCCGTGGATGTAGCAGGAGAGCCTTGAAGGAGCAGGATAATAGAGCAGAGGATGAGGAGAGCCGCTGAGTACAGTATTGTGATGGACAAAGGGAGAGGGCAGGTGGCTCACTCACTGACACACTGGGCCTTTGTGATATTGTGAGCCTGCAACAGCTGTTGCTCAAAGATGAGTTTTTAGTCATTTCAGGGACAGGAAGTAACATGGCAATGACGGAAAATGTCAGAACATAATCAACAGTTAGTAAAAAAAACCAAGAAGAACGTATTTTCAGATGAATCCTGCATTTCACCTAAATTTCCCAAAGGGAACTCCCGAGGGATTTAAGTGAGTATCTATCTCTCTATCTGTCTGTCTGTCATTTGTTTTTGAGGAAACACTCATCTCAACAAACTGAGGGAAAAATAGGCTTGAATGTAACGTATTTCAAATTCTTTTTGAAGAGGAAAAATAGAAATTTAGAACATACAACATTGCACTTGCTGAGTCTTTAATGTGTAAATCACATAAAAAACAGCTGAATAATAACTAAAGTTAAGGAATTCACACACAGTACATCAGCACCTATGTCACTCAGCTATGCTAACACAGTGGTAACATCATAATCTAGGACATGAAAACATCAGAAGGGTCTGACGAATGCCTGGGAGCCATAATGAAGGGCAGAAAGAGAGCAAACGAAGCACAATCCAATGTGTGGCGTACAACCTGCAAACGTAAAGACACATACAGCGCCACGTGACAACATGTTCATCCCCAAACGATATCAGGTTAGTTTCCAAGGAATCGGACAATTGAGAATTGGTTCTCGTACAAGAACCCGTGCTCTTCCCAGTTTAATGTAGGGAGAATAACAGCTATTTTTCAATTTTATTTTCTAGTGAGAAAACATTAAAAGTAAAAATTTGATTGTGTTAACAGATTACCACTGGGCCACCGTCACACCTTTATCTTTCATAAAATTATAACATTATTTTCATAAATTAATGAGTTTTTTCTCATAACAATTTCCTCACATAATTCCAAATTTTTTCCTTGAAAATCTGCAACTTGACACAACGATTTTCTATTTTTTTCTCGTAGCATTGTAACTTCATTCTTGTTACGCTTCGACTTTTGTTTTTTTACTGTTCTCATATATTTACGACTTTAATCTGTGTTTTTTTCCTTAATGTGGCCCTTATGCTCATATTTGATTGGTTTAACTCAACTGTTTTAAGGGGTATAAATGAATAAACGTACCATTTTTTCAATGCTCTCCCTCTCCCTTGCTCTCTCCCTCTCTCGCCCTCCACTGCTGTGGCTCTTCAGTAGCTGCTGAGCGTCATGAATGGCCTGAGTGACCACATCACCGTCTCCAAGGAAACCTGAGACAAAAACCACAGCATAGATTTAAAAAAACAAAACAACAACCTGTTAATATGTAGCGGTGCTTCATGTAGGAACACATTATACATCATAACAGCTAATACTGAGATAAACATGGCCTTCCTCTTGGTTTATTTATTCTCTTCTGTTACTGTCTGTGTGGTTGACATCTCCTATTGGCTGCTTTTTTGACAGTATTTTAAACAGATTTCCAGATGGAATTCAAGTGGAAAAAGTATAACTATAAAATATAACAGACACAAACTCAAAATATCAATAATAATAATAAATGATTGTATTTTTTATAGGGTAATTTTATTTCTTACTTACAATTAATCTAAATTTACATGAAATTATTTTGTTTTATTGTGTCTTACAGTTACTTTGATCAATGTGACTTTGCGAATACGGTAAAATACGGCAAAAACAAATAATCACAGTGTTCCTCCGATCAACTCTCAAAACGCTTTCACAGGAAAGAAAGAAACAGTGACTTCAGCTGTATGTTACCAAATTTGTTTTTTTTTTTATATGCGTTACTATTAAAACTCTCATTTGTCTTGGGCTGGTCACTGTCAGAAATTGTGGGTTAAGAGAGTGCATTCTCCTCACATAGGCCTCGCATTAACATGGAAAACAAAAAAGTTTTATTTGTTTGAAAAGCTGCGTTCTGGCATTTTCACCAACTCATCCGAGAGCTTCATTTTAATAATAAATGTTAAGAGTTGACTTTGGAACCAACTCGCACCTGTTTGAATTATTCTGACTATGAAAACATTGTAAATACCAACTCTATTTGAAGGTGTTTTTATTAAGATGAACTGAGGACAAACAGTGGAAAACTGGTTCCCTGGACTCTGAAGATCTGCTGTGAGCCACTTGATTATTACAGATGATGAAATAAACAATGGTGCGTTGAGGAAAGCTAATCATTTATGATAATGAATCGTATAAATCAACACTGTTATGTGTACAACTACAGTACAGTACTTTCTTTAATTACAAATCAACACCTTAACATTATTAACATTAACACCTTAACAGGTGACCCATTAGTTTATATGGAGTTGACCAAGACCAGGCTAGGTGGGGGAGAGAGTTGACCAAGACCAGGCTAGGTGGGGAGATTGTTTTTGTTTTTGTTTTTATTTAGGCCAGCGATTTTAAGATCTGGTCCAGACAACAAAACATGCCGTTTTAAATACAAACTTTAACATTTTGGGTCTAGGTGTTATCAACGTGAGGGGCGTCTTTACATTGGGTGCCTAATGGACACATGGCATAAAAAAACATCCCTATCCCACTAAGCCAGGGGTAATCAATTACTAACATGTATATTTTTTATCTGTACAAACCACATGGGTTGCTGCCCCCCAGTGAGTGGAGACTTGTTATCATTCAAGCAGTGGTAGACTTATGTCCAGCGTGCCATATTCCACTGGAAGCCCCACACGTATCCCCCTGGCTCCTCACTGCGCCCTCCCAGGAGGGCCCGCCCCACTATTTGAGCAGTACTGCACTTAGCAGATCCTTGTTGCGGTATCCCTGGATTACTGGGATCAGGGTTAGCCAGAATGATACTTCTACTACTTCTTCCATAAGTTGGTCAAAAACTAAAGCAAAAGAAACATACAGGAGGTTCTAGACTTATCTTGGAATTCTGGTCCCACGGTGCAACATACATAATGTTACATACTGTTCATACTGTAAGTACCTATGTCACCCAGCTATGCTGACACAGAGGGAACATCATAATCTAGGACATAATAACATCAGAAGAGTCTGAGTCACGCTTTGGAGCCAAAGGGGAAAAGTCCCCCCCAAAAAAACAACACAACTGTACGAAATGGTGATTTCTTTTAATTGGAACTCACTGAGGGCAGATCGTGGCGGGGTGTGAGACCGTTCTCCCTGGAGATCCCTGGGTCTGTAGGCTCCCTGCACCACCATCGATCCCATATCCAGGCTCTGTGGACTGGGTGTCTTTCCGACATCTAGACCCCTGGGCTTGGAGGTCAGGTTCAAAGGTTGACTCGCTTCCTAAACACAAAGCACAAGCACATGAGTGGGTGTGGACCACAATAGCGAAAGGGCAAGGGGGTGTGTCTGTGTTGCGCATATCCACACAGAAGATTTGGCGTGTCACAGCACATCTGTCACACCTTCACAGGGCTCTGGGCTTTTGGCTCTGTATCTGCTCTGTGCTCGTTCTCTTCAGTTTACTTTAGCCCATCTCTCCCCAAGAACAAGCCTTTGAACTGGAACAACGGATTCCGCTCGCACACAAACAACCACACACTTTTAATGTCACACACAGTAGACTGTTAATAAAGGGCGTGGTGTTTCTTCTAAGCTCTTTATCCTTCGAATAGCAGGACTTACTTCGTTTGGTTTACTCTGGAAGAGTTTTCTCTGAAACCAAAATGCATACAAAGACATTTTAAGACTGCTTATGTATTAAGCAATCACATGATGTATAACCAGGGCGAAGACTAAATATCTTCAGCGGGGCGTCGCTAGCTCCTAGAGCAGGGGTGTCAAACTCATTTTTACCGGGGAGGCCACATCAGCAATCCCCTTGAAGGGCCAGTTGTAACTATTAGACTGTGTTTCCTGATTAGTGATTACATATTCCTCATAAGTTTATATTTGAAATTTTATAGCTGTATTTCAGCTACTTTCAGTAGAAATAATATTAACCTATGTTAATCCTACGATCCGAACATGTTAACACGTAACAAAACTACGAAACAATATTCTGGTTATCTTGTTTTAGTTTCTCAACTGTACAGTTTCGTCAGTTCAATGGGATCAGTTCGTCATACAGCCATACCTTTCGGAAGGACCCACTACCCCTCTTAGACAGGGAAGGGTGAGGGTTTGGCAGCAGTTGCAGGGGGTAGTCCATAGCTGTAAAAGATGAAACATTTCAGAGTCAGAAACAATGGATATGTGCTGTGAATCATGCCATTTACCAGTCACTACTTGAGTGCTATAAGCTTATATGCTAATATGTTAATATGTCACTGGTCTTCAGTGTTCAGTTACACCCGCAGAGCAGCTGAATAAAGACAACATTTCCGTGTCACACAGTCACCGTGCAAAAAATCTGCTTGATTTTGAAATCAACAACGTAAAATTAGAAATGACTACACCTGCTCCGAATCAGTCAGTGTCCAGACAAAACCAGAATGTTGTCTACAAATGATGGTGGACAGACCTCTTACATCCCCACTGACGCACTGTGACCTTGTAGTTTCATCCGTCTACATCCGTCCTACCTGGTTCAATCAGTTATAACGTGCATTATGCGATGGGTAATTACAGGAATCATGACATAAAAGCATAAAAGCCTCATCTTTAATAGAAGGCTTTGTGAAGCACTTCCACACACACCGTATAAAGAACCTTATATTCGGTCTACGACGTTTCAAAGATCAACTTAATGGCTTTTAGTTTTAAAACAATAAAAACAAGGTCAACGCTGAGCACTTTTCAGAGTAAGACCGCGCAACATCAGAGCTTCCTGATGTGAAAGGCATCGTCAACCACATCGTTCAACTTATGCCTTTTCATTCTCCCAATAAAGAAGGCCTGGAGCTAAAGTGAAGCTTGTCCTCAAACGCACTCAAGTGGGAATTAGTGAGAAGGAAAGAAGAAAGAGGGGGAGAAAGAAAGTGGAAAAATAAGAAAAAAGGAGAGAAAGAAAGAAAAAGAGGGAAAAGGGAACGAGAAAAAAGAAAAGAGAAAGGGAGAGACAAAGAGAGAGGGAGAGATACAGAAAGAAAAAAGAAAGAAGAAAAAAAGGACCTTATAGTCATTATACAAATATAACGACATTAAGCTTAGCATCTGTCCATCACAATTCACAAAACGGAATAAAAGACAGTAAACAATGAAAATGTAGATTTGAATAACTGCAAATGATTCTCCTGTGAGTGAGTAAACAGTAGAATAAGAGCGATGGCAACAACGTGGGAAAGAAAGAAGGACAAGAGAGATGGAAAAAAGAAAACAAGATTCAGAAAAGGAGAAAAATCAAGAAAATAAAAAAGAAAGAAGACAGAACAGAAGGAACGTCATTTTACAAAAGAAACAGTGTTGAGCACTTGGTCGGTAACGTTGGGTCGATCAGGTAGAACTCTTCAGTTCACTTTTTAGTAGTAAGTAAGTAACTGAAACTTCGAAGCGGGAGTGTTGGGACTTCAGTCAGGGCGCTATGGAAACATAGCTTTGATAAAACTTAACTTTAAACAAATGATTAATTTGGCTGGGTCGTCAGAATGTAGTCCAAATAAAAGAGTTGCAATAAGTTTTTTTCTGATGGTTTCCAACAGGGTGGGTGAAATAAAAATAGACCTCTGTGTTATAGAGGTTGGATTATTTTCAAATTGTTCAACCTGCATTGGCTTGACAACTGACCTGGCTTGCAGGGGATCGGTTGCAGTGGCATTGTCAGCTGGGGGTCAGAGGTGACTGGCAGCGGTTGGGTGCTGGGGTGAAAGGCAGGAATCATCACGTAGGGCATGTTCACCTGCTGGGACAAGACAGGACAGGTTCCCTTTACCCACAGGCCGCCTTTTGTGTATAGCACACCTTTGTGACGTTCTCATGACGGGGCGTCTACTGAGAGGTGTGAAGAAGTTGAGAGGAGCTGACCTGGATCTGCTGCTGGAGGAGGTTAATCTTGTGCTGCTGCTGGATCAGCTGCTGCTGCTGTTTGGCGATCTGGAACAAGACATTTTTGTTTCGGTATTTGCTATTATCATGGAGCCACAATATACAGTAGGTTCATATACTGTAGCTAGTCCTCTTAAATTACCTCATCAAATACTGCAATGCTCTCTGCAAACCTAATCCACCAACAAGGACTAAAAAATGCCTCAAATGTGAATCTTGAACACCAACCTCACATCTACTACTGAACCCATCTGTAACTCTGACTGCACACCTCACCCATCATATGCCTGACCATGAGCAGTATACAATAGTGATGGGAGTACTCACACGAGTATCTATTGAGTATCGGTTACTGTTGTAAAGTATCAATACTAAATAAAACATGAAATGTCATTTCCAAATCACTCCTAAATTAAACTGATCCATTTATGTCACATGATCACTGACCAGAAGAGAGCAGGGACTCCATGTGTCCACTAGATGTCTTTGTCCCTTAGTGGTAACATTTAAATTATTTAGTATTTTGTCCACCTCTGTCCAAAACTAATTGTCTGATGTTTCAGCTCGTATTCAAAGACAAAAATGATAGCAATAACAGAACACTTCTTTGTTTCTGGTTTTAAGATTTCAGTTAGATTTGCCGCTACTGATTTCCATACACGTCACATTCTGGAACATCCTGCCAAACAGAGTCGTATTAAGCAATAAACAGAGATGTACAAATACAAAGCCTTTGTTTCACTCGTAAAGTTTCCCCTGGTTACCAGTCTACGCTACCGAAAGAAAGCGCCGACCAGAACCTGGATCTTTTCTGTTTAAATGCGATCAGTGTGAAAGCTACCTGTTCCTGCTGCTGCCGAGCCAGCTCCATTTGCTGCTGCTGCTTCTCCAGTAGCAGAGCGGCCATGTTCCTCTGCTCGGAGTGGGCTCCCAGTAACTGCTCCCTTAGACCACCAAGTTGGTTAATCATCATTAACAACTGTAGCTCCTTCTCAGCCAGAGACTCAGGGGTTCCTGAAAGAAATGAGACTTACCTCTTAACAAGAGTTTCACTAGAATTTAAGGTGGACATGTAGTCACGGAAATGTGAGGGTGAGTCAATTTCCAAGAAACATAATGTCATTTCAAATGGTGTCCAGTATCTGAATCTGAATCTCTTAGCCCCCGCCCTACCAACTTTTTTCGTCAGGGTTCAATCTGTGTTATTTTTTTTATTTATTCGAGTCTTCCTCAAAAAGGAACAGTTTCAAAATCAGAGCGAAGCTCAAATGTTTTCGCATGAAAACCTGTTGAAATTGTTCACGCTCTGGTTTTGATCCATTTCCATCGGGTATTTCAGTTTTCCCAATGCTGAAGAAACATTTGAGATGAATGTGATTTCTGTCCTTAGACAAGGCAAAGAAGCAGTTCAGGACATGGTGTGTGGGAGATATCCTCCAGAATTCTCCAGAGGATCAATTCTAAGATCCACAGCGTTTTGCAGCAGTGTTTACACTTGTGTAGAGAAATAGTTTTGTTGTTTTCTTTGCTCCTTTTTGATGCCACTATTAGGTAGCAGTATTACAAAGACAAGGAAAAAAGTACATTTGTGGGTAATGTTGAACATAGTTCAATATTTACTACATTTTCAAACAATTAATGCTAATAAGTGATTATCATCTTTGTTTTGAATGCAAATGTGTAGGTGTTCAAATGTCAGCATCTTTGACTGTATGGAGGGGCATCAGTTCATGTACCAGGCGGATCTGAATGTGATTATTGATGACGATGGAAACTGGAAATGGACATTGACCAGGAACCTTTGAGCAGCTCACAACTTTATACATAGCTTCATTTGTCATTACACTTTCAAATGAGTTTGTTTTGAACCAAATGAATTTAGTTGTCAGTCAAAACACTGAAATGATTTTACTTTCCTATCCCCCGGCCTATTAAATACAGCTGCGAGTGAGTTACAGTCAAAGCTTTATTGTTGTGCGATTCGATGTGAAGGTGCTAAAAGAGTCTTAAGAGCTGACCTTTCAGTTGCCCTGGCCCCGCTGTGCTTTTGTCCAGAAGTTTCTCTTTCCAGTCTGTATTCAGCAACTTCTCAATGGTGGGCATTACTGTTAAAAAGAAAACAACATCTTACAAATCCAAGGAGAGAGTACATTGTAACAAATAACAAACTTCAGACACGAAACTTCAATTTCAACCCGTTCATTGGGATTTACTGTAGATGTCTGAGGGGCAGGAGGGCAGAAGGTGTTTGTGTTTCTGGAGAAGATTTGAGTGTTTGAGTGAATCAATATTTGGGCGAAGAAACAAGACAAGGTCAGCAAATAAAGAGAGGTGAAGAGACATCTAAGGCAAGGAGCGCAGGCTAGTAAAAGATTGGAGGGCAGGGAAGGCCTTGTTAACAGCTCGCAGCTAGCGGCGTTCTCCTGCACCTGAGGGGGACTCAACAAATCGGACAAAAACAAACAAACAAAAAACATTCAAGGACCAAACAACATCTTCACTTTGCTTTCGGAGCCATCAATTCTATGCATCAATTTCAGACTTCTTTGTTGGCAGCTGAACGGCAAAAGACTGTAGAGTACTTTTAGGACCTAAGATATGGAGTTGTCAAAGAGGATGGGAAAATGGAATGGACGTATGGGTTTGTAGTGTGAATACAGAAGAAAGACTGAGGACGAGAGGTAGAGCTGAAAGAGTTTACGGAGCTTCTGTGATACAATTGACTCAAAGTTAAAGATTGTTGATCCGTTCTCAGACGTAAACAAACAAGAAAGCGACTAAAAGCTCAAAGTGAAAAAAAACAACAACAAAAAAACATCAAGATTATTTCATGGCTAATGGTGTCAAACAGTACAAGGCTGTTACTACTTTATAGGGAGTTTGTTTGTCTACTTTGTTTGTTTCACTTAACTTTGGTCATTTTGATATAGAACAGTATTCTCTTAATGAATAATTAACAAATTAAATTAAAATACTGTAATAGCAGTCTCATCCATTAGCCTGTTCACCATAATAGATTTGCCAAAATAATGTATAAAAGGAGCACACACCAAGACCTCTTATATGCGTAAGTTTGTTTTCATTACATCTCTAATTAAACATCACAAGCAATTTAAATAATAAAAACAAAAAAACAGATATAATTTCGTGTAGCCTAACATACAAGATGTAAGTAGATCACTTTAGCCTGGTCATTTGAATAGTAGATCTCAAGCCAAAATATTGTGGCTCCCTTGAACTAAACCATCTTAAATGCAGTGTATTTACAGCAGTGTAATCTCTGGTACTATTTTAGGTACTATACATACTAAATACAATGAGAAATCAATGATCATCTCTGGAGACTTGGAGACAGACCTTCTTTAAGGTTGGACTGTCCCTTCGGTTGATCATGGGTCCTGAACTCCTTTAATCCAATGGGACTTTGCCTGTGATTCAGCTCCTTACCCGGAGAGCCCTCCTGTCAGGACACAGGAAGAAACAATACAGAATCAAGCTCATTTTTGTAGCCCATTAAAAAATAATTATAGCAAGAAAACGTAATTAAATTAAATTAACAAATCTATAAAACAAGTCATGGTGAATGGAGTAAATGATAATAGGGTAAATCAGAACATTTACGTAGTTTGTTCGCAGTTATTTGATGGCGTTAAACGTGGATTGCTTTGGCATTTAAAAAATCTGATCATTTCTGGTGGAAGTCTTACTGAAGGCGAGCGTGACAGTGGCGGGGTCAGTTGTCGAGCCTCAAATGGTTGATTTCCTGACCAGTCTCGTGAAGGAGATGTTTTATGTGGGTCGGCGTGAAAGCTGACGTTACTGCCCTCGCTGGACTCCTCCTGTTTTACTTTGATACCAACTCCTGCCATGCTGACATTCCCACCGGAGTAAAGGTGCAGAGCTGGAGGGCTGGGATCCACCATTCTGTTTAAGGACAAACACAACACACAGCACAATGAATGCTTTGTTTTCATATACCCATTGTGTGCACACGTTTTCCAAGGCAGGTATGCATCTTTATCTTTCGTTCCTTCAAAACAAAGTTAAGTGCACAAATATCCGTTGTCCTCGAAAGAATTCAAACAGAATTCACACACAGCACTAAATGTTACAAAATTTAGCATAAAAAAGCAGAATATTGAGGAAAAAGGATTTTTGTGGATATTTCATTTATATATTTTGACTGCTTCTTTGATTATTGATATGTTATCATATTCTCCCCATTGAAGATGTAGAATGCATTAAACAGTGGCATGAAATACCCCTGCAGCGACCAATGATGCCCCCCCATCCATAGCATATGGACTCTTTGAACTTAGAATTAGTTTTCTTCATCACTGGTCACCTTTTTGTGTCTTCATAGCAATAGGTAACAGGAGGCTATAAGAGGAGTGGGACAGTAAAAGCCCCTCTGTGAGGGAGCCAGGTTGAATGAGAACTTGAAAAAAAATCAACTTCTCCGTCTATGCGTGTGCGCTTTGTTATTTCCCAGCCCCGCAGCAGGAGGAAAGAAAAACACTGCAGACAGCAGAACAAAACAAACAGAGCACACAAGGGCAAAAAGTGCACACATATATAAAGAGGCAGAAAAAAGCCATTGTTGAGGCTGGGGAACAAAGGAAGCCTGGACAATTGGGGAGAGGCTGACAAAAGCTACCGGCCACAGGAAACAGGCTGGATAACAATGCCAGCGGAATGTGCCGACCAACTCAGGAACAGGGCACGAAAAAATAAAAATGGGAAATAAAATAGAAGCCCCACCATTCTGTAGAAAGCATATTAATAATTAGACCCTCCTCCCCAACCTCAGCCAGACTGCACTGTGTATGGGAACAAAGCCACCTGTAAGCCGGGGTCGAAGCCCAAGTCTGAGTCATTCTGGATGTGACAATACGTGCACTGCATGCATGATTGTACCTTTTTGATTTTTAAAGTTATACAGTAATATTACCATTCAACTAGAACAATGCACTGCGGTGAAATGACACAGCGTGAAACAGACAGGAGAGAATCCGCTCCTAATCTACATAAGGGCAATTGGACAAATGGATAAAAACAAAAGACCTTTTTCTCTTTTTTTCCCACCACTGAAACACTAACTCTTGGGACATACAGTATATAAGCTGAAACTGCCGGAAAAACGCCCAATATATAGAAGTGATGAAAACAGTCTGGTTCCACAAGCATCAAAATTGGTTCAGCATTAATCCCAAAAACTCAGCACCAGACAAGCATTTGTTGTTCCTGTTTTGTGTCCATATATCTGATCAGTTTTCCAAACCCAACAGGAACACCACAGGTCATTGGCAATTAAGACTGAGAGAGTCCAAATCCTGCCTGCAGATTGACTAATGACACAGCAGGCGTACTTTTGATATCCAGCTAGGTTTTTGTATGATTAAGCTGTTGTGGTTAAAAGTTGCTCAGGGCAAATATTGTAGCTGAGTGATACTTTTCCACAAAGAGAAACCACAGTAAAGGAGCGCCACTGGATAAGAATGCTGCAGTGGCCACATCAACCACAGCACAGAAAGAAACCTATGTGAACCTCCGACCCTTTATGATCATTTACACTTTAAAAACTCTTCTGGACAGGGGAGGTTATTTGTTACCGCTGTATATTTATATTTTTCTTATTCAGAGCATTTGCATATATATAAATAAAACAGCTTTAACAGCTGTTGTGGGTTATATATATTTATATATATATAACCCACAACAGCTTTAGGGTGATGCACCCCAGATTTGGTACACCACTGTGGTAAACCAATGTTTTGTTAATAATCCAAAAAAAAACAAAACATTTACTTATAATTACTTGGTATAATTAAATATTTTAACAACAAGAACAACAACCTGGGACTTTTTTTGCCACAGCAATAAAAATAGTTCTTTACCACCGGAGAAGTTCCTCAGGTGCAATCCTAAATTTATTACATAAATAACTGGATTTAATTTTAACAGTTACCTGAATAGATTTTGTTAGTTTTGTTAGTGTTTTCAACTCATGAACTAAATCATTACAACTGCTCCCTCTACAGGAAAGGAAGTCATTTACCTAAATAAACTAAACTAAACAAAATCATTGACATATATTCAGTTACTTCATGTTTCATGTGTGTAGACTTTGTGTTTGATGTATTTTTCTGCAGGTCAGTTGTTAATGTTTGACTGCTGCACATCACAAAGACATCTGAAATGCACTGGTGTATCTGCTGTGCAGAAAAGAGTGAATTAAAAAAGCACTTGTTTATTGTTGAAGCGGACCAGATTTATGTGCAACCATTTAACTTTTGATTTTTAATGAACACTCGGCTCCTGTTAACCACAGGAATTTAATATGAGACATCAAACACGTGAACCCACGTGGATCTGTGTCAGCCTTATCTAGTCTGATCTCTATCTGGTTTAGTGTGTGTTTTGATGAACTTTAACATAGGACTGAGAATGTAGCGGTGGGGGAGAGGGGATACCGTTTTGCCAACACAGCTGCAACTGACGTCTGTATCAGTAACGGGTGTAATCGTGTGGTCATGGGTGGTCAAGCTGGCACAGGCCTCGCACGGGGGTTCAAAGTCCCACACTGAAAGTTATTCTTGGTTCTCGGCCCCCATCCCTCCAAGGAGGCTGGATCACAAAGTTGCCACAGGTGGCCTGAGTGCAAGTCGTTAGTTGCCTGCATGTGTGTGTGTATGTGTGTGTGAAAACAATTTCCTGTTGCTAATTTTTAGGTTAGCCTTTCCAGATGAATGCAAATCAATGCACTCTCAGTTTTGACATGAACAGCTGCATGACACTCTGTGTACGTCTGTTGCACCCAGTGCATAGGTATGTATATAATCACTGTGACCCACGGAGTCGATGACAGCAAAGAATGTGTCAAGGTGTGTGTGCATAAGACTGTGTCCTTTGTTTTTTGGGGGGGTTTTTTTTGTTGTTGTTTTTTCTTTTCAAACAATGCCTGCAGCGTCTCGTGCTGAACAATAGAAACCAGTCAAGGTTATTGCTTCTCTCGGCATCACTCTCATCTAGTTAAACAAACACTTTCTGCTGCTCAGTGCACACACATACAACCAGACCTCGACTGTGCTTGTGTGTCTACACTGTAGGTCTACTGTTGCCTGATTTTAATAGCTTTGCCTTCTTACTTGGTTATCAGATTGCGGTGTGTTTTCCAATCACCTACAGAGTTGATCAGCATTAACAAATGCTCGCCACATGGTGCTGAGAAATCAGACCAGCTGCTGAGACTAACAGCCATACAACAGTTGCCAAAAAGCAAGTCTCAGAATGAGTGTGTTAAAAGCAATTCACCTTGAAAAATAGTCCCTGGCCCAGTAAACTGCATAGATTTTCAGCAGAAATCGCAGGAAGTAGATGTAATCAAATGTGGTTGATACAGTAGCATAGTGGTTTCTTAGCTACTTCCTATTGCCGAGGTCAGAGGTTACTTATAGGCAGACCAGGACCCAGGCACCAGGACCCAGACCCTGTCCAATCAAGTCCTGAACATTCCAATGAAAAAAAAAATTGAGGTATGTTAAAATGATTAAGGTAAAAGGGCAGCGTCTTCTCATGTGATGCTAATAAGACGATCGAATGTGTAGATTTGGAAACAAAAAAAGATCTGACTGTCAGTGAGTGAGACACACTGTGGAGGTAATTCATTCTTTGCAAGGTCGAACAGACAAAAGTGGATCTGTTTTTGGCATCCACTTTTGTCTGTTCGACTTTAAAACCCGGATGCACTGAAATGTTCATTCTTTCAGAAGGCCGCTCCAAATCTGGGATAATATTAAGTGCCGCTAGAGACAAAGCACAGCATTTTCACTAAAACATACCCACTAAAATCACAGAAAAATAGCCACTTACAGCCAGGTTGATCGGAACCTTTGTTCTATAAAAGTGTGAGATATTGCACTTGAGTTAACGGTTTGGATTAAGTTGAAATGTAAAAGGAAAACATACATAATTCGATCCATCCGTTCTCTACACATTAATCCCCCTGAGGATTGGAGCAGCTGGAGCCAATCCCAGCATTCCTCAAGTGAAGGCAGTGCACACATGGGCTGTGTACCGACCTCCGGTTGATTTAAGTTACCGACCCAAATGCTTCAGTACCAAGTATCTTGTCTTTCGGTGCCAAGTTTCCGTTCTGTTTTGTAAACAATCCTCAAAATAGTCAGCCCTCTGATCAACACCATGTCATAATTACTGTCAAATTTCATTTCAAACTCACTTTAGGTGATTCCATAGTGTAGTGGTTCGCTCGCCTGCCTTACAAGCAGAAGGTCCAGGGTCTAAGCCTCAGAGGAACCACATACTTAATGGTCGCTTGTTGCAGCCTGTGAAGGTTGCAAAGACTCACACTGGGAAGTTCCCCTTTTTGGAACAAATATGGGACTTAGTAGTTCACCTGCCATAGATCAATCTCACAAATTTGTACTTGTACTCGTAAGTCCACGTTGTATCTGCTTATTCTTCTTTTTTGTGCTATTCATTTCTATGCAAATTGCGACATCAAAACTCTTTATTTTCATTCTAATACCAACGAAAGATGGTGGTGGACAGAACAAAAAGCTACTGCCATCAGATAAAAATCAACTTGCCTCTTTTTGAGCAGTGAAACACTGAGACATTTACACTAGCCACTACAGTACACAACAATCACCTCACACAAAACCTTCAGTTAACCAACAAGTTGAAACACGTAAAACTTCAAACATCTCTACCTCTACGGGACTGACAATGCAATTTCTTTCTTTTGTCCTACCCGCTTCTCCTCTTTCAATTTGTTTATCTTTTAAAGTCACTACTTAGTCTTCTCCCTCATGACAGAGGCAACTATTTGGGTTTATACTGTCCATGTCGATTCCTTGGTAGAATGAGACACAGAATAGAAGAGTGACAATACACTTTGAGAG